ACGGGCCTTCGGTTTCATCTATTACTTTGGTTCACCTTTATTTTGTCCCACATAACACTCCCAACTTTACTGAAGAATATTCACTGTGAAAATAAGCAAACTCAAACATTAACTAGGAGGACGAGCCATGTTGGAAGTGCAAAAGCAGAGAGAAGCAACAAAATGCTTATTTGCGGAGCAAAGCTTGCTAATACATGATGATAATCATAACTGTTGCACATGTATCATTGGAGGCACATGCTCCCAATTCAGTCTCATCTCTGACGATGTAGTGTGAAAGTATTAATTCGCGAACAAAGTAATGAACATTCAATTGGCACGTTCTTTCATCTACGTTTGTTATAATAGATAGGGATAATATTTTCTTTTTTTAATGCTATCAATATTTTGCATCAACTTGCATTTGACTCTTTGAAAGTATCCTATGCTGGAACTAATGGTATTTAAAAAATTAAGATTTAATGCTTTTAATAGGTATGAGTTGAAAACAAAGGTCAAATTAGAGTGATGGCTAATCACGACTCATGATTTTTCGGATTTGGTGTGATTATTCAAAAAAGTTTGTGATGAAAAGTCATGACCTTCTGATAGGATGCGATCTAGATCATGATCCAATTTGAAAAGGCATGATCTAATGATCCAAAATAATTTATGCTAAATGATGCACATATTCAAAAAAGACATTGAATCTATAAATTGAATCAATTTCAATTTCATCCCTTCAAATTATGTCAAAACAAATTTCAAATTATTTTCGAGTTTCGTGTACGATATTTGTTTATATGATATCATCCGATCTGATAGAGAACAGTCAAGCTTTGATTTATCTCACAAAATTAATATTGTGCTATATTAATTTTAAAAGAAGTGTTATATCTTGAAAAACAAACGTCTATTTGATAATGTTAGTATCAGTGCATGCGATGAAACACGTCTTAAAGAGATTTACAATCGCATACCTCATTTCATTTCATCTCATCTCATCTCATTTTAAATTTCACATTTTTCTAAACGTCAAAAAGTAGTCAATTTGCTTATTATTCTTGGGCATCTTGAATTCGGTAAATCAAAACTCCATCCAGGAAATTGTACCGGTGAGTCGTGATTTTATTGTATTTGCATGCTGTTTTTGATTAATGAATATAATGCACCAATTTATCAACAGACTAGACAAGCATAGCATCATTTTGGCAAGGAAATCTAGTTTCTGAAACCATTGTTTCTGTCTGTCAATCTAGTTTCAAATTTATGCAGCAACAAAAAAGGAATTCAGAGAATTAAGGTGAAGATCATGGTTAGGACAGTTGAACTCCCTAGAGAATTAAGGTGGGCAGTTTTCAGATTTAGAATACGCTTTTCATTTATCTATGTGAGCAATATATTACAATTGCAGAATATTTTTATCCTTCCCTCCGTATATTATTCAGTGGGAAAGAATAGCTATGTCAAAATACTCATACGAATAAGACAATAAGCCTCCTCTCCAACACACGCACAAATAGAAATTAAAATCTATGAGCTTCGTGCTAACAGAAACTATTATACCTCGTAAATCTACATGCTGAAACCAGGTATGATCACGACAGCAGATTACAAAACAGCCATTTTCCTCTTTGATTTTATACCCAGCATAGTTATAACTCAGCGATAATCTCTTGACTGTAACATCACATGATATCTCAAAGACACCTTACCAAAGCCAGATAATTCAAGCCTAGGAATACATTAATCAAGCTTATCACGCCTTACTTCTTTATGTCGACACCCTCACAGGCTCACACGCTATGCTATTCTTAATCTCCTCTCCAAATAGCACCTTCTTGATCTTCCGAGGCTCTGTGGATATCTTTAGCACAGTAGACTCAAAAGCAATCAAAGGGGTCTGCTTAAAATTTCAATTCTTCCATGATTCTCTCCTTCAAACTGAACCCATTGTGGTTTCTTTGACACTCAGTCACCACTATTAGGTAGTGGCAATGATGATGCAGAATATGGGCTCTACTTGTATTTGTAACATCCTTCTCAAGAAAGGTACAAAAATGCATGGATTTAACTGCAAGGCCACTGGATTTGAACACTTGAACACTAAAGGGGGGATGTTTTCATAGAAACTCCTCCTCAACTGCCAACAGAGAATGTAGCTGAAGTAGAGAGCTTCTTGCATCGAAGTCTCCAATCTTCACCCCATGAACTTCCAATATCAAGATTATTTATATCTACTAACTATATGATTAAACTGAAAATAAATGTCGAACTTTTCAGCTTCTTCATTTAATTGACGAATCATTGGATTTGGTTCTAATCTGTCTTCCTTTTCATGAATGCCTGTGATTCTTCAAGGAGGTGGCTTTCAGGACTTGCACTGGTCAGGCTCCAAAGAATTGAGATAATTTGAACTACTGTCTCCCATTCCATGGCTTACAAAATGGCCTGGTTTTTTTATCACATATGGAAGCTTTAGAAAGGTACAGTATTCAAGAACAGCATCTGCACAAAAACTTCCTCAGCAACATATTTTATATTGGTGGAATTGAGGACCTTTGTGCAGTTCGGGCCAACCTGAGGATGGGGAGAGTTGAGGCAATTTTGCAGATAGTTATTTTATCAGACCTAGGAAGCACCTGTTAAATTAAAACTTTATCACTGACACTTTTCCTTTGGCCAATAAAAAAGGGACCTGTTTGAAAAATCTCCCTTAATTTCTCTAGGAAACTTTAGTTTAGTTAGTTTCTTCTTTTTTCAGTCACTTGCCTTTTGCTGAACGACGTATTTGAACTCAAACATTTCTCAGAAGATGTCCGGATCATGCCAAGCATTTTGAAACTAGGAATTGCTTTTCTGACTAATGAAAGTCCAAAATTATGCCTATAGTAATAATACATTTGTCATAATGAGGAGACCTAATCACTTCAGTTTGTTCAATACCAAACTTGCTAAATGTTCTACAACTTTACTTGACAAAACTATAAAGTTGGCTGATAGATGCCAGCAAAGGTTGCTGGATTCCTTGCAATTACTAGCACCAAATATCAGCAGAGAATCAACGTTGTACTTTACTTTCTTGAAATTACTAGCACCAAATATCCAGTTACTTGGCTGCTATACAGCCATACACGATAATGCCTAGCTAGGATTACAATATAATACTACCCTTGTCACTCTCTAATACCAAGAGGCATGATACGGCCAGTTCATCCTATCCAAATGAACTCAATCTATAGTTAACAATATCGAAAGCTAGATCTTCATTTATGTTAGCAACAATTAGACATAATATAATTGAAGAGCATTCCAAGTAAATCATTCAAGATGGACTAATTCTCACAGAAAAACGAATATTAACAATATTCACATACGGAAAAGATTTCAGAAATTGCTGCTAGTAAAATATTGAAGATTGGTCAAGCATGTGAAGAATGGAAGTTACAAGAGGTTTCAAAAGCTTACTTTACAGTTGAAGGATGAATTCGACAGCACCATACTCAACTATTATATCACTTTATCAGCGGGTGAAAGTGCCTTGTTTGTAACTGAAGTAGAGAGTTTGTGGACTATTTTGTTAATGCAGCAGTATTTGTTGACTGTTCCGATTCAACTAGGTTGCGGAGTCTCTCTTGAAGACCTCGAACTCTGTCCTCAGTTCTGCAGAGCTTTCTCCACCTGTAGGTCAACCAGAGGCCAAACCTCCATAGACCAGGATATAGGAACCCCACACGTAGGGGTAGGTTTCAGCATGTTCTTTAATTTTCCGATACTGCCCTTCTATTTTATCTCCCCACCCAAAAACAGTAGTCCTAGTTTCTTCCTGGCTGGCCTCCTGAGAACATCATCTCCTTTTGTCTTGGCCGCAATTGCTTGCCCCATCTCTCACTGATGAAAGATGGATAAAAATTAGTATACATAGTACAAATTTATCTTGGTGCTTCACTGAACATCAAAATAGGAAATTGAACTGACCAGCAGTTACTAATTTCCTTTTTCTTCTTTAGGATAATAACCAGGTATTATTTGAACTGTACAGTTTGACTGCTCCAAATAATCTTAAAATTTTGTAAAGAAATTTGTGAAAAAACTGTTCTCTGTAATCTAGTGCCCCTTTTGATTCACAGTCGATTAGCTTCTAAGGGAGAACATAGAATCAATGTAGTTCCGCCTTATTCAAGCAAACCATTAAATCCACAAAAGACTTCTTTCAGGAGTATATTTATGGAC